TTGTATTAGTTCTAGTATCATAACATCTCCATCTATCATCACTTTGCTATCGCCCGGCCTTCGCTTTCGGATTGATACATACATATCTGACAACTAAAAAGATTAATTGCAACAGTGTATGTCATACCCTGTTTGTTAACGAAATAGTTAATCTACTTATATTTAATCAATGTGACGAATCTTTCTTTTCTGAGATGAGACTATATATTTTGATCCTCCTCAAAATTCATATAGTTATAATACTCACTCTTAATTTTCTACCAGAGTACATATGTTTTTTTCTGCAAAAATAAAATCCATGTCCATCAATTTTTTTCTTCTAAAAGTGAATTATTATTAATAAATAAGTTTTATAAATTCATATCAATCCCACTCGAGACTGCTTATTCCTATCAGTCAGGTGCTAAAAGCTCGAGACCTTTTGATTATACAATTATCTTAAAGAGAGATATCTATGTTTCTTGAATGAGTTTTTTTCGTTAATCAATATTCTATGTTGTGTGTGTTTGTTTCAGTATTTATAACCTGAGAATATATGTATGTTTTTTGTTCCTTTTTCTTGGAAATCATATTTTGCAGGACTCGCAGAACTTTGATTCGGGTGTGACCTGAATGCTCTGCATAAGCTCTCGATTAGCTGCTATTTTGGAGTTTCTATAATAAAAGCAGATGATGCAGGAGTCAAACTATAAGAAGATGATGATGGAGATATGCTTGAAACAATAATATTAGATGTTACTAGCGTTGTCGTGGGATTCATACTTGTTTCTGAAGTTTCTATCGGCGTAGTGATCATGAGACAAGGCATAAGGGAGATATGCAGCCGAAAGCTGAAGTCCAAATGACAAAGAATCAATTGAACTGTGGCCAAGTGCTAAGATTGTCAATGTATACTTTCATGTATTTATGTGTTCGAGTGTTTTGATTCACGTTTGACCATTTGGTGTTGCCTCGCCTTGTTTATTGAACTTGGATATGATTAGTGTTCCTTTTCTTCATCAACTACAAATCTGGTGTCTCCACACTACAAATTTGTTGTGTCCACGCCTACATCTTTATCATGAGTTGATTTTTTCTTTCATGGCTAAACACTTCACATCTTCATGCCTACAAAAGGATCGATGGTTGAATACACAACCATTCTCTGGCTCGTGATGTGCATAGACTAGTAAAATAATCATCTCTCCGGTGAAATCCCAAAAGAACTGACAAAGCTTCTCGGATTGCGCTTCCTAAACTTATCCAACAATCATTTGACGGGGAGGATTCCAGAAAAGATTGGTGATATGAAACAGCTAGAATCACTTGACTTATCGATGAACAGTCTCACTGGGGAGATACCTTCAAGCTTTTCTGCTATGAATTTCCTGGATTATTTGAATCTGTCTTACAATAACTTGTCAGGCAAAATACCCACGAGTGGTCAATTGTCGACCTTTGACTCGTGGACATATGTGGGCAATAAAGACCTCTGTGGTACGCCACTGCCGGATTGCCCTGTTTATCAAACTCCACCTGACGCACGAGTCAAACAAGAAAAAGAAGGTGAAGACGATGAGAAGCTCCAAAAATTATTGGAGTACAGCAGTATTGTGATTGGCTTTTGGCTGTTTATTGAAACACTCATCGTGAAACAGGCCATCAGAGTTGCTTTCTTCCGATGGATCGACGACACCAGCGACTGGATCTATGTTCAGTTTGCGGTAAAGCTTGCGAGGCTCAAATCCAAATGGCAAACGATAACATGAACCATCAAGTGTTTCACCTCTTATATTACGACTAAAGGTCAAGTGGTCCTTTGCGGGAAGTCATCCCCAAATCTTGCGTTAGCATGTAATGTTGTTATCATGTTTTGTTGTCACAACAAACCAGATGGTCTATTTACATTACATGTAATTGTTACTGCGACATCTCCATGCATATGATCATTTCGGTATCATGTTGCTTTCAAGACAATCAAAGGTCATTTACACATATCTGGCAACTAAAAGAATTGTATTTCAAGAGATTATATGCAAAAAAAATATTGTTTTATAGAATGTCTGTCATACAATGTTTGCTAATGAGATAGTAAATATAGTTACAATTTGTTGGGACTTTTTATTTTCAGTTTTTTTTCTTTAGAAAAGAAAAAAAGAAAGAAAGAAATTCAAGTATATTATTATGCTCAATTAGATAAAGATACACATTCATAAAAGAGAGACAGTATGATTATAAAATATAATTGGGGCCATGCTCTTGATATTTGGTAGTCGATGACTTATTCAAGTGTGAGTCTTTTTTTTTTCTCTCTTTTTTTTAGATGAGATTATATAATTTTGATCCTCCTTGATGTTCATATTAGCACGAGACTTTTTCTTTAAATTATTTTTAATTTTTTCGAAATTCTTTTTCACAAGAAAAAGATTTTTTTTTCGAAATAAAATTTGTGTTCGACAAAGCAAACTTGTCCAAAAATTTTTATCTGTGTATAAACTTCTTTTGCCTATCATTCGGGTGCTAAAGATTGAGAATTCAATAACCAATCTCAAGAATGGCAATCAGAATTCCTGCATTGAGTTTTTTGGTCAACCAACATTAATTGCTTCCACATATTTAATGATCACAGCAAAAAAATGATTATGTGGAATAATTTTCCTTCACATCCATAGAATTAAGTGTGGGAACTGACTCCAAAGTGAGTCGGACTTGGGCTCCATTCGTTCAAACTCGGGATGTTGACCGACGTCGACTTCTCATCGGCCCCACCTGCGTACCTCGCCGCAGCCGTTCCCCGCGTCCGCGTTCACACAGTGCACCACCGCACGCGGGGGCGTTTCACGCTCTGCATCGCCGCCTCCCCGTGGGCCCGCACCGCCCGCCGCAGCCACAGTCGCCCGCCGCAACCGCCCACGTGCGGTCGCACCTCTCCGCTCTCAGGCAGCGAGCCCTCCACCTTCCCTTGATCCTATAAATGGAGCTTTGGGGAACAACAGCGAGGGGAGCGAAGGAGAGAAGAAGAGAGGTGAAGCGAGGAAGGAGCCCAAATCCAACCAAGTTCTTCTCCGGCGTGAAGTCCGGTCACCGTGCTCATTGCAGCACCTGCGGAGGAGGAAGAAGAGGAAGTTGACTGGTCAACACTGATCAACTTTGATTGACAGGGGTAATTTTGTAATTTTGTTTTATTGGCAAATTTTGGATTTTTTTTAAGGAAGTCGTGATGGTGTTGTTAAACCCTCCTACGATTTAATTTTTTATTTTGATTTTTCTTCTTCTTGTGTACGTAATAACTATGTTTATATCATAATTTGAGTCATGTTAAATCGTTTATTTTTATTTTTCATCCTTTATCATCTGATTTTTTTCATCGACTCGATCTATATCTTATGGCTACATAACCTACTAATCTTTTCTACATATTGTATCAAAGCATTCTTACCAAAGATTATCAGGTTGCTGGGCCTTAATGACGAGCATGAGATATAAGATCAAAAAATTGGATCGAAATTTTAAGTACTCTCTGGTAAATATAAATGTTATTTTAATAAACTAAACTTGTGACAAAGGTAATCGAGAAGTCCCAACATAATATACAATCAAAATCGATGTCGACACTTAAGAAATGGTGTGTGAAAGTCCCAACTACTTTTGTGGTTGTAAGAAAATATGGATCTATACTATATAATTAATGAATAAATTGAAACTCCATTTATAATAATTGATCAAATGTGTCTTCGATTGACTAGCCAATAAAATCTCCGATGTTAATGAATCATTCTAACTCTTATATCTTTATCGTTAGTTGAAATTTTCTATCACGGTTAAACTCTTTATATCTAAATCCCCGATATTCATTTATGAAACACCTAAGTCTCACGTGCTAATCAATCATGTTTCATGTTTTATTTCTTAACCACGGAATACATTAAAGTCTCCAAGAGATAGATATGTACCTTATTGACGTTGACTTGCGTCCGACGAAAATGCAAGACTTTCTCAGCCATATCGTAGACCTCGTACACTCATAGGTAACTTCTTTCCAACCTCACACCATATGGAAAAGAAGTTCGAAATGACCTTTCATGCTAATTCACCTCTTCCAACCATTCATTGCGTTGCGAGAAATATTTATACTTTTCTTTCAACACTGAAATATATATATATATATATATATATATATATATATATATATATATATATATATATATATATATATATATATATATATATATATATATATATATATATATATATATATATATATATATATATA